TTTTTGGTTTTCTGATTCCAGATCTTTGCACATTTTGTTGTAATATTTGGCTTTATCTTCTTGAGCTGATCTTTGAAATTTTCTGTTCAGCTCTTGGAACTCCTCATTTCTTCCATTTGCTTTAGCATCTCTCCATTGGCCTTATTTTCACTGATGATCTGGAGCTTTTCTGTTGTCTCTTTCTCTAGATGTAGTCAATATGATTTCTATGTATTCCACCTTGCAAGGTCCATGTGCATAGTCATCTTTTATGCAGTCTAAAGAAGGGATTTGAAATGAAGAGATCATTGATTTTGTAGGATTCTAACATGTGGTCTCCAGCATCATTTCTATCACCAAGGCCATATTTCCCAACTACTGCTCCTTCCTCTTTGCTCCCATCCTTTGCATTGCAATCACCAGTAATGATCAATATATCTTGAATGCATGTTTGGTGGATTTGAGATAGAAGAACTTGGTAGAATTCTTCTTTCGTCTTCACTGGCTTTAGTGGTTGGTGTGTAAATTTGAATAATAGTGGTATTAACTGGGTTTCCCTGTAGGCGCATGGATATTATCCTATCACAGACAGCGTTGTACCTCATAACTGATCTGGATATATTCTTTTTGACAGTAAATGCAACTCCATTCATATTCAATTTGTCATTCCCAGCATAGTAAACCATGTGTTTGTCAGATTCAAAAAGGCCAATACCAGTCCATTTCAGCTCACTAATGCCTAATATATGGATGTTTATGTGTTCCATTTCATTTTTGACAACTTCCAATTTTTCCAAATTCATACTTATTACATTCCATGTTCCAATTTTCAGTGGATGTTTACAACTGTCTCTCTTCATTTTGAGTTATGCTCCATCAGCAAATGAAGTTCCCAGGGGCTTTTTTCCCATGGGCTTATCTGCATTTGCGTCATCACGGTACAGCTCTACTTTGAAGAGGCAGCTCTTCCACAGTCGCATTTTGAGTGCCTTCAAACACTAGGGTCTCATTTTTCGGCACTATATCTGACAGTGTTTCTCTGTTATTCAGAAAGGTTTCAGTGACTAAATATTCGGAAGTAGTCTGTCTTCATGTGGAAGCTCAGCTGAAACCTGTCCTCCATGGGTGACCCTGCTGGTATTTAAATACCGGTGGCATAGCTTTCATAATCACAGCAACTCACAAGTCACCACAGTAGGACAAACTGACAGAAGAGTGGTGGCCATTTAACTTTAAATTTCGTGGAGATCTGTGCACATGCATAGTAGAACCCTCCAGGGATGTGGGTGTGGTATCCATTTGCTCAGGCACCCCCTCTAGTCACCAGAATGGAGGTGCGCAGACAGAGAGACCAATGAACTGATACCAAAACAGAATGTCCACACCTGTATCTCTGCGGTTTTGTTAAGCATGCGTCTGTGGCTGCTCTGATCTCCCCCGCCCCAACTTGGTTTCTCCCAAGATAGCGGCTCCCAGAATAGCTGAACCTCTTAAGTTAGAAAACAATGGATTTCTTGATTTTGCTACAAATTTCCCTAGCTGTAAGCCTTCCAGTCTTCTAAATATCCCTTTATATGTGGTTCAGAGTTCTAGCACCATCCGGTGAGGCTGCTTGGTCTGGTATTCTGTATTGTTGCTGACACAGAGCTCCTCACTGCACGTGTAAACCATCTGCCCTCTTGTTGCAGGTATTGGAGGATAATCAAGATGCCCACCTCAGAATGAATGCCAATTCAACATCAGTTCTGCTCTCCTCTCACACCAAGGAAGGGCCAGAAGGTCCCGGTCGATGCCAGGAAAGGAGAAAGCAGAAAGAAAGGGCCCCAGCCAGATACTGGAGGGCATTCATGAAGCCATCTTCAGCTCCCAGGCAGGACTAGAGCCCAAGAGGGCAAGCCGGGCGGCTCTAGATGTGGCAAAGTTTACCAAGCAGAGAGGGAGGGAGGCCCACAAAGGACTAGGGGTGCGCCAGCCTGGCCCTCAGAATTAAGGAATCTGAGCAGGAAGTTTGGACCAGAGGGACAAGGTGGGGGTGCCAGTGTGACCAGTTGGAGAAATAATGAGCTAGCAGGAAGCTGGGAGGGGGGAGTGGGGAGTGGAGAGCTAGGAGGGGAAAGAGAAAGGGAGGGTCTGTGGGGTGGAGATAGGAAAAGAGAAAGATAGGAGGGCTGGAGGGAGGAGAGAAGGAAGGGTGGAGAGGAGACAGCAAGTGATAAGAACTGTTAGGGTAGTGTTGAGGCCACAGCGGGAGCAGCGGGCATCTCTGCCTGGCCCACCCTGAGAGCAAGGCGCTGCTATTCCACTGCTCTGGCCGCAGCTGAACCGCTCATGGGGACCATGAACTTGAACTGGCGCTTCCTGTACAGCGAGATGGGCATGCTGCAGATGCTGCAACTGCTGGTTGGGGCCGCCTTCATCATCCTCACAGCAGTGAGTGGATTCCATGGCCTCGTGTACTTCGCACTCTTCACGTCTGCATTCTTCTGCCTGACGACCTTGATCCTCTTATTCCTCAGGCTGCTTTACGAATACTCGTGGCGGGTCAACGAGATTCACGACATGCTGGCGGCTGCGCTGTACGTCGCCTTGATGGTCATCATGGTCATCCAGATGCTGGACCAAAGTTTCTGCAACATCGAGGATTACCCGCTGCCCTGCGCCTACAATGTCTTTCTTGGGGCCTCTGTCTGCAGCGGATTCTGCTCTTGCCTCTACTTGCTCTCGGCATGGTGGTGATGCTGGGCTTAGGGCCAGTCGGAGGTGGAGTGAGGCT